TTTTATGATAATTCTTTACCCTTAATTCAGCGTCATTTTAATAATAATAATAATAATAATAATAATAGTAATATGAATAGATATTTAAATATTTTGAAATATGCATTAGTTTCATTGGCTTATCGTATAGTTGACGCATGTTATTTTAGTCCTATTGGATATACAACCAGTGAAGATGATGTTTATTCATTTATCAAATCAGATGATGAAGAAAAATCAAATGAAGAAGAAAAGAAAAGTGAAGTGATCGAAAAAATGGATGATGTATTTTTTTATTTGATCGAATTTTCTCAATTAGAAAAACCCGTACAATCATTTGTGGATGCCCCTTTACTTTTAGATATGGAAATTGAATTTGATTTAAGTGGAAAATTTACAAGAATAAAAAATGAAGTTCTCAATGGATATCCTTTTTTTTCACATTTATTCAATGGATTATTAAATATTTATTTATTGATTTATTTATTTATTAACATTATTAATATTAATTAATATTATTAATTATCCTTAATTTGTTCACACCGATGATGCTCGAGTTGATTATATAAACATGTCATTAGAATCATTGCGTAATATGAATCAAGAATCTGAAGAAAAGTTACCATTAAGAATGAGATTAGAAGAGAAACGAAAAAGACTTTTGTCTCGTGCGGCAAGTAATAAAATTAAAATTCATGTTGGTAATAGTTCAAATGTTGACAAGGTAAAAACTTATTTTTTAATCAATTAATCTAATTTCTATTTAATTTGATTTATATCCAGCTTATGGTTTTTTGTATTTATACATTTTTTTAATTAGGCTGAATTAATTAATGGAGAAAGATCAATTCGATTATCATTAATTTCATCGATTTCGGAAATTCAAGAGGTTTTCCCTAACTATGATGAAAAATATATAGAAAAATGTTTAATTGATTTTAATAATGACAAAGAAAAGGTTATCGATCAATTATTACAAGGTACTATTCCTCCTCACATAATGAATGGAACGAATGAAATGAATGGATCAGTAAATGAAGTTAAGAAAAATGGTATAAATGGAAAAAATCAAGAAAGTCTTGTCTCCCAACGCCGAAACATTTTTGATAATGATGAATTTGACGTGTTTTCGGGCAAATCACTTGATATGAAACGCGTCAATCAAGGAAAAAAAGAGTGAGTAACTTTTTTCAAAAGAAAAAATCTTATTAAAAACTAAAATAAATAATAATAATCGTTTTTTTTTAGGCGAGGCACCACAGAAATATTATTGGATGATAAATCATTTATTCGAACCCATAAGGAATCTATGATAGACGTTGCATATAATATGATGTACGAGGATGAATATGATGATACGTATGATACTAGTGGATTAAATATGGGTTCTATTGATTTACGTACAGTTGATGAATTAGATGATGAACCAGGATGCGGTGGAAGAGGTGAAAGATTGGAAAAAGTAATTATTCATTTATTCAATTCATTCATTCATTCATTCGAACAGTAAAAGTAATAATAATAAATATGTAACATATATGATTTGTAATAATTTTCCAAAATTTTCATTATTTTTCATTAGATCGACCCAGGATTTGCAAACGAGGGTGAACTAATAAATGCGTTTGAATCAGATCCTTCAGTATTTGATAGAACTAATGCAACAAAAAAATCAGAGAAACGTGCGAAACTTAAACAAATCACACAAATGACAGATGAACAACTCGAAGGATGGTTTATTATGTTTCAGAGAAACGTAAATATTATTATTATTTATTATTTGTATTTTTATTTATTATTATTATTATTTATAATAATTATTATTTTTTTTTAGCCAAGAAAAGACAAAATACTTGCAAAATATAAAGGGAGAAGGAATGAAGATCTACCATCTATATCAGAAGGTGAAATTGGTTCATCATCATCATCTCCAAAATCTATGGGAATTAATGATGACGGAAGAGGAAGAAGTGGTGGTGGGAGAGGTGGAGGACGAGGGAGAGGTGGTGGGAGAGGTGGTGGAAGAGGTAGTGGTGAAAGAGGTGGAGGACGAGGAAGAGGTCGTGGACAAAGTCGAGGAAATAAATCATCACGTGATTATGGCGGTGGTAAAAGTAATAATACTAATAATGATAATACGAGTAATAATAGTAATACTAGTAACAATGTTAATGGTCCTGATATTGGATCATCATCTTCATCTACTTCACAGAAGAGATATAATGAAAAAAATAAAGGGAAAACAGGAAATCACAATAGGAAAAATGAATATGCCAAGAAAATGATGGGAGGAGGATTTGGTCATATACCACAAGATTAATAGTAGGAAAAAAAAAAAGACTATCTAGGAGTTTATTATTGTCATAGAAATCTCTTATTATTATTGTAATAGACTGAAAATTTTTATTTATTTATTTATTCAACTTTATACACCCAAAAAATTACATATGTAAAATGATAATTTATTTAGAAATAAAAATTACAAAGTGAATAAATTTATATAGTTATATATTATATGAAAAGCCAATAATGAATAATAATTTACTTTTTAAATTGTGGTTACTTAAAATAACGTGAGACGCAACGATGATCATGAGGGATTAAGGTAATACTTGTTAATCGTGCACGGAAGATAACTTATCCAAAGCATGAATAGGAGGAGATCCGATCAACAAAGCAAGGCATCGTCATCATCCACTCGATCATCTGCTTCTTTTGGACGAAATCAATATACTAACGTTACCTCAACTATCTGCCGTTTTAAAGAAGTCTTCGGCCGAAAGAAACCTCAATTAAATGATATATGTAATGGGGTAACAGTACGTATGCGGGAGAATTAGTCAAGTAACAATTAAAAATTTTTACCCTTTACATTGTAAAGGAATGGTAGTTCATCTAGCCATCTACCTATTTCATCTACGGTAGAACTATTACAATGAGTGTTTCTATCACCTAAGATCCGGCAGGCATAGATAATATGATTTATTCCTCTCTTCTCCACGATTCTGCCAGTATAGAAAAAAATATTAATATCTAGAATATCAAAAGAACAATTGAACTAATTATAAATTCGGTTAATGACTCAAGAGCGTTTCGTTGATTGATTTCATTTTGGAGTATCGAGATGGTTCTATTGAATTCAGTGATAATTCGATTGAAATTGTCTTTCGGTTCCATCAATTCTTGTTAATTGGGATATTCTATTGTAACTTTAAACATAGTATGATGCTCTTATATTGTCTCATAGTACCACAGTGTGCATTCTGCTGTCATGATACATGCTTGAGATTTGAATGTCAATCTTAACACCGTTATTGAACATGATCTAGTATATTGAATGTATAATTTAATGTGTGATTAAAATAGATGGCATTCCAAAATTCCAAAAATGGTTTTCAGCAGCATGTTCTTTTATACGAATTAAGCATTTTTTCTTGACAAAAAAAAATTGGGAAAGGTATGAAAGTTTTCCAATCTTTACTAACGCAAATTATTCAAATAAAATGCCCTCTGAAATCGTACAATTCGTATATATTAAAGGAGAGTCGGCGATTAAATTGGGAAAAAGATTCAAGTTGCTCTGCATTAAGTTGTTAGAGTATTTTAAAGAATTAGGAATAAAGACGAACATGTAGGGTAAGTTCTTACTGAGTTATGTCGAGTCATCATGTATCCTAAGTTACGCTGTCACACATATATAAATCCGAGAATTGAAAGCGCATCGTGGCCAATGTTTTGACATTGAACGTTCTTCTCAGTTATGTGTCTCGTGAGCCTTTTGGGCGAGATTAAGATGAATAAGATACACGTGCTAAATGTGACTATGAAACATATACTCATTTTAATTATCAATTTAGATATATTGTCATTGAAGTTTGTGAACATAATACCATTGTTCAATGCAAAGCTTGGTTTGCAAAAAATATATGTATGTTGATTATTAATATTATTAATTAAAAATGAAAATAGTTTATTATTTATAATTTTTATTATTATTTTTTTTAGCAAAACATGAAGGGAGAAGGAATAAAAATCTACTATCTATATCAGAAGGTGAAATTGGTTCATCATCATCATTATCTTCAAAATCTATGTGAATTAATAATGATAGAAAAGGAAGAGGTGATGGTGAAAAAGGTGGAGAATGAGGTGTAAGGAAGAGGTCATGAACAAAGTTAAGAAAATAAATCACCACGTGATTATACGATAATCATCTATTTTGTAGCATAGTGGATATCACCTGTGATAAAATCGATAAATTATTCCATAATTGCTGAATATGATAATCGCGATTTTTCTATCATCTCTTAATGTTAGTAAAGCCTGATCAAATTGATCAATTTGATTTGGGTAGGTTATATTAGAAGCAATTGTAAGTGA